TCTGTTTGCCAAGTTTGGTCCAGATCCATCAGTGTATGGGTTCGCAGTGCTCTCTGGATGTAGGTGAACTACAACTCTCCCAAATCTAGGTGAATTTTTCCCAAAGACCTCCAGTAATTTTTTCCCGGTCATGGGGGCTCTGTGTGCCAAGTTTGGTCGAATTCCATCTTTGGTGGAGTTCAGAGTGCTCTTAGATTCCAGGTGAACTATAAATCCCAGTACCTACAACTCCAAAATGTCCAGGCCAATTCCTCTCAAAACCCACCAGTATTCAAATTTGAGCATATCAGATATGCGTGTCAAGTTTGGTCCAAGTTTGGGTTCACAGTGTACTCTGGATGTAGCTGAACTACAACTCTTATAAATCCCTCCACTATTTTTTCTTGGTCATAGGGGCTCTGTGTGCCAAGTTAGTTCCAGGTCCATTGTTGGTGGAGTTCAGAGTGCAATTCTTACCTTGCAGATGAACTATACATCCCAGTACCTACAACTCCTATAAATCATGGTGAATTCTCCTCAAACTCTTCCAGTATGCTCAGTTGCTGATTAATTCTTCTGTTTGTTGTGTGCCATAGAAAAGGATAGGAAAGTGTTATGGGAGAGGCAGTGGGCAGGGTCATGCAAATTCCACTAGAGAGAGTAAGAAACACTGGGATATCTGTGGTGGAGGAAACAAATAGCATCTAGGATGATATTGTCCCCGAATGAAAGCCTTTACTTGGGAAGTGGGCAGGATGGTGTTTGTGGATGACATTGGCAGGGCTCTTGGGCATGTACATGGTGCTCTCTATAACCTGCAATGTCACTGGAAGAGAGGGCTTTTGGTGTCTTCTGAGTAGTGGAAGTTATAGCTGTTTGTGGAGGCAGAAGCCTGTCTGTGTAAGTGGACACATACACACGTACATATTTTCACTTTTATTATGTGTATACATTTATATTGTGTATAGATCATTTGACTTTTTGGTCCTACAAGACTGGTCTAAAACAAAAATATTGGCCAGAAATTGCCCTCCAGGTCAGACTGGACTGCAAAGACCAGTCTGTGCCTGTCTGTGTAAGTGGACAACCCACCCACACACACACATACACGTTTTCACTTTTATTATGTGTATAGATTATCCTTGGGGTCTCTGGAGGTTTTTTTTACGTAGAGGCTGGACGGCCATCTGCCGGGAGGGCTTTAGTTGTGCCTTTCTGCCTTGATTGGCCCTTGGGGTCCCTTCCAAGCCTGCAAATCAGTCAAGCGCGTTCACTTCCAACCTTTCCAAGATGACCGAATCCCATTTTGTGAAGAGAAGGAAATTTCTCGGCGAAGCCAGAAATATGTACCCAACCCTTTGCTTTCCTGCCAGATACATATTATTTTATTTTTTAAAAGGAAAGTTTTAGCACAGTTCGGCGGATCTGAAGAAGGAGGGACTTCGGAGTGCCATAAAAGCCAAGAAGGCTCTAGGCAACGGAGCAAAGGTAGCCGATTGCCATCTTCCCGGAAAAGAGAAACCAAAGCCTTGTCTGAGCTTGCCATGAAGGCAACTTCCTCCTATAAAGGCAAATACAGTGCTGTATCGTTGGACTACAAAGTCCATCATCCTGCATTTAGGGCCAATAGGTGCTGCAGATGGCCATCTGTTGGGAGGGCTTTAGTTGTGTCTTTCTTTTCCCAGAATCATTCTGATCTCACAGCCAATTGCTGCGTATTATTATTATTATTATTATTATTATTATTATTATTATTATTAGATACACAACAAGATTACTACACAGGAAACAAGATCCCTGTGTCTAGGACTGTGTGATGTATTGGTGAATAATGTGTGCAGATCCAAGTAGGGTGGCCTTTTGCAGCTGACAGATGGTAATTTTGTCAGCACCGATTGTTTATAAGTGCAGGCCAAGGTCTTTAGGCACTGCACCCAGTGTGCCGATCTTCACTGGGACCACTGGGGCTTGTTCCAGAGTATTTCCAGATCTATCTTTGCAGTTCTATTATTATTATTGTTGTTGTTGTCATTATTATGCTTGAGATGTTTGGATGTTTTTACAAAGAGGCTGTATGGCCATTTGTTGGGAGGGTTTTAGTTGTGTCTTTCTTTTCTCAAGAAGTCGTTTCCAAATGAATAAGTGCATATACTACTACTACTACTACTAATAATAATAATAATAAAGACCTTGGCCTAAACTAAAACAACTGAAAAGCTGACACGATATGAGGATTTAAAGATTGAACTGCAAAGACTCTGGCACAAGCCAGTCAAGGTGGTCCCAGTGGTGATCGGTACACTGGGTGCAGTGCCTAAAGACTTTGGCCTGCACTTAAAAACAATAGGCACTGACAAAATTACCATCTGTCAGCTGCAAAAGGCCATCCTCCTCGGATCTACACGTGTTATGCACCAATACATCACACAGTTGTAGACATTTGGGAAGTGTCCAACGTGTGATCCAATACAAAAGCCAGCAGAGTGATCTTGCTTGCTGTGTACTCATCTTGTTGTGTATATAATAATAATAATAATAATAATAATAATAATAATAATAATAATATAAGCAATTGGCCTTGAGATCAGAAGTGGTTTCCAAATAAATAAATGCATATACTACTACTATAAATATATTAATGCAAATAATAATCTTCCAATACACATAATAAAAGTGAAAATATGTATGTATGTGTGGATGGGTGTCCACTTACACAGACAAGCTCCTGCCTCCACAATTAGCTCTAGCTCCCACTTTTCAGGAGACACCAATGGCCCTCCCTCCAATCACATTGCAGGTTATAGTGAGCGCCATGAACATGTCCAAGAGCCCTGCCAATATCCTCCGCCAACACCATACTGCCCACCTCCCAAGTGGAGGCTTTGATACGGGGACAATTCCATGCTAGATTTCATGTGCTTCCTCCACCACAGACATCCTAGTGTTTCTGACTCTCTCCATTGGTGTGGAATCTGCATGATCTCACCTACTGCCTCTCCCTTAAGCTTTTCCTACCCTTTTCTATGCCACACAGCAAACAGAGGAATTGATCAGCAACTGAACACACTAGAGAGGTTTGGAGAGAATTCACAGTAATTTATAGGAGTTCTAGGTCCCGGGATGTATAGTCCACCTGCAGTCTAAGAGCACTTTGAATTCCCCCAACAATGGACCTAGAACTAACTTGGCACACAGAATCCCCATGACCAACAAAAATACTGGAGGTCTTTGGAGGGATTTATAGGACTTGTAGTTCACCTGCATTCAGAGCGCACTATGAACCCAACCAATTATGGATCTGGACCAAACTTGGCATGCATACCCAATAGTCCCAAATTTGAGTACTGGTGGGTTTTGAGGGGACTTGGCCTGGACATTATGGGGTTGTAGTTCCTGGGATGTATAGCTCACCTGCAGTCAATGAGCTCTCTAACTCCACTAGAGATGGAATTTGGCCACACAGAGCCCTCATGACCAGCAAAAAAATACTGGAGGTCTTTCGGGGGAAATTCAACTTGATTTGGGGGAGTTGTAGTTCACCTACATCCAGAGAGAGCGCTGTGAACCCAAACACCGATGGATCTGGACCAAACTAGGCACACATCCTTGATATGCTGAAATTTGATGACTAGAGGAGTTTGGGGGGAACTGACCCTCCTTTCTGGGAGTTGTAGTTCATCCACAACCAGAGAAATTGTGACCGCCACTGATGATCGACCTGAACCACAAGTGGCACACAGACCCCCATGACTAACTCAACCTACTGAAGGGATTGGAGGGGACTGACTCACCATAGTGAAAGTTGTAGTGCCTCTTCCTTAATCCTTTCCTATTCTTTTCCATGGCACACAGCAAACAGGAATTAATCAGCAACTGAACATACTGGAAGAGTTTGAGGAGAATTCACCATGATTTATAGGAGTTGTAGGTACTGGGATGTATAGTCCACCTGCAATCTAAGAACTGCACTCTGAACTCCACCAACAATGAACCTGGAACTAACTTGGCACACAGAACCCCCATGACCAAGAAAAAACATTGGAAGTCTTTGGCGGGATTTAGAGGAGTTGTAGTTCACCTGCATCCAGAGTGCACTATGAATCCAAACAATGATGGATCAGGACCAAACTTGGTATGCATACCCAATATGCCCAAATTTGAATACTGGTGCATTTTGAGAGGAATTGGCCTGGGCATTTCGGACTTGTAGGTACTGGGATTTATAGTTCACTTGCAATCAATGAGCTCTCTAACATTCCCTAGAGATGGAATTGGACCAAACAGAGCCCCCATGACCAGCAAAAAATACTGGAGGTCTTTGGGGGGAAGATCACCTTGATTTGGGGGAGTTGTAGTTCACCTATATCCAGAAAGAGCACTGTGAACCCAAACTCCGATAGATCTGTACCAAACTAGGCACACATCCTCGATATGCCAAAATTTGATGACTAGAGGGGTTTGGGGGGAACTGGCCTTCCTTTCTGGGAGTTGTAGTTCACCCACAACCAGAGAAATTGTGACCTCCACTGATGATGGACCTGGACCCAACTTGGCACACAGAACCCACATGAATAACTCAAACTGACTGGAGGGGTTTGAGGGGACTGACTCACCATAGTGGGAGTTGTAGTTCACCCTGCAGCCAGGGAGCACACTGAACCCCACCGATGATGCATCTAGAGCAAACTTTCCCAACATAACAAACTTTAAGGGCTGATGGAGTTGTTCGGAGTGAACCTGGCATGATGTGAGTTGTAGTTCACCTACAAACTTATGCATTTTGGACAATGAAATAATTGACTTTCCCCATGTTATTGATTATAGAAATAGGAGGAGTGGGTGTGACATGCCTTTCCAAAAGGGACAGAGTGAAGCTACCTTTCTTTTTTTCCTTCTAAAGTCCTTCCAAAGTTCTCCAAACTTTTTGGCAAGAGGGATGCAAAGGAAACTCTTCCCTTGGACTTTTTGGCTGGGGGAGAAGAAGGGAATATGACAAAAAGAGCCTCCTTTTATTTGCTTACCAAGCAGCAGGCAAAGGCAGTCCACCACCACGAAGATCTTGGGGCGCTCCATGGTCCCTTTCTGGAGAGGGGATCACATGCCCGGTCCCGAGGAGGAGGAAGGCAGGAGATCCCAAAGGATCACAGGAGAGGATCCTGAGCTTGTGGGGAGGATCTCGGAAGGGACGGGAAGGAGGAGGGATCGAGGAGAAGGAGGAGCCGACCAAAGTCGGGGCTGGGCTTGGAGCCGCCCTTGCCCTTTGCTTACAGAATCCTTGGCTAGGAAGGGGTCCCCAAAGGCCATCCAGTCCAACCCCCTTCTTTCTGCCATGCAGGAGGACACCATCCAGCCACAGGGCAAACTCCAACTATGGTGAGTCAGTCCCTCCACACCCCTCCAGTTTGAGTTAGTCATGGAGGTTCTATGTGAACTACAGAATGCATGAGGTTCTGGGTGAACTACAACTCACGTCATGCCAGGCTAACCCCCAAAAACTCCATCACAATTTGAAGGTTGTTATGTTGGGTAAGTTTGCTCTAATGCATCATTGGTGGGGTTCAGTGTGCTCTCTGGCTGATGGGTAAACTACAAGTCCCACTATGGTGAATCAGACCTCTCAAACCCCTCCAGTAGGTTGAGTTGGCTATGGAGGTTCTGTGTGCCAAGTTTGATCCAGGTCCATCATTGGTGGTGGTCACAATTTCTCTGGTTGTGGGTGAACTACAACTCCCAGAAAGGAAGGTCAGTTCCCCCCAAGCTCCTCCAGGAATCAAATTTCGGCATATTGGGTATGCATGCTAAGTTTGGTCCAGATCAATTGGCGTTTTGGGTTTACGGTGCTCTCTGTAAGTAGGTGAACTACAACTCCCCCAAATCAAGTTGAATTTCCCCCAAAGACCTCCAGCATTTTTTGTTGGACATGGGGGCTCTGTGTGCCAAGTTTGGTTCAATCCCCTCTCAGGTGGAGTTCAAAGTGCTCATTGATTGCAGGTGAACTATAAATCCCAGAACCCCAACTCCAAAATGCCCAGGCCTATTCCCCTCAAAACCCACCAGTATTTAAATTTGGGCATATTGGGTATGCATGCCAAATTTTGGTCCAAATCCATGTTTGTCTGGGTTCATAGTGTGCTCTGGATGTAGGTGAACTACAACTCCTAAAAATCCCTCCAAAGGCCTCCAGTATTTTTTGTTGGTCATGGAGGTTCTGTGTGCCAAGTTAGTTCCTGGTCCATCGTTCAGACTCTCCTTAATAATAATAATAATAATAATAATAATAATAATAATAATAAGAAGAAGAAGAAGAAGAAGAAGAAGAAGAATAGAATCCTAGAGTTGCAAGAGACCTCCAAGGGCCATCCAGTCCAACCTCCTGCCATAAGGGAAAAGCACAATCAAAGCACTTGTGACAGATGGTCATTCAGACTCTCAATAATAATAATAATAATAATAAGAAGAAGAAGAAGAATAGAATCCTAGAGTTGCAAGAGTTCAGAGTGCTCTTAGTTTGCAGGTGAACTATACATCCCAGTACCTACAACTCCTATAAATCGTGGTGAATTCTCCCCAAACCTCTCTAGTATGTTCAGTTGCTGATTAATTCTTCTGTTTACTGTGTACCGTGGAAAAGAATAGGAAAGGTTTAAGGGAGAGGCAGTGGGCGGGATCATGCAAATTCCACACCAATGGAGAGAGTCAGAAACACTGGGATGTCTGTGGTGAAGAAAATCTAGGTTGGAATTGTCCCCGTATGAAAGCCTTCACTTGGTGATGGGCACGATGGTGCTTGTGGAGGACATTGGCAGACCTCTTTTTTATGTAGTGTACTATAACCTGCAATGCCATTGGAGGGAGGGCCTTTGGTGTTTCCTGAGTAGTGGGAGCTACAGCTGTTTGTGTAGGCAGGACACTGTCTGTGTAAGTGGACACCCCAGTCACATACACACATACGTATTTTCCCTTTTATTATGTGTATAAATAGATTATTGGACTCATAGAGTTGGAAGAGACTCCAAAGGCCATCCAGTCCAACCCCTTTCTGCCAAGCTGGAAAATAGCATCACATTCTTCTTCTTATTATTATTTTTATTACACTCATAGAGTTGGAAGAGACTCCAGTGGTCATCCAGTCCAACCCCCTTTTTCCAGATTAGAAGACACCATCAAAGCCCTCCCGACAGATGGCCAGGATATTATCAGGTTCATGGAGAAATAGGGCTATAGAATTTGCAGGAAGTTTTCAATCAGTGAGGGCCTCGCCCTTTTTTTCCTGTCTCTTTTCTGGTTGGACTAGAGAGCCTCAAGGAGATCCTCCCAACTTCAAAGCATGTAAAATATATTATTATTGTAATGACAGCAAGAATAAAAATAGGACAGGTATTGCAGCCGTGATATCACTTTATTGTATTTTTCAGCACAGTAAAGAACTAAACCCTTGCCTGATCTACAAAAAAAATGCAAATATATTCATGCTAAGGCTTCTGCTGCATCTCTATATATTGAAATGCCAACTTGTTATACAAGGGTTCCATCTTGTGTCAATATTAAAGCACTGTGCTACATACAGCCACATGAGGGCAGCCTTGTGCGGTAGTTGGTCCTTTTAATGGGCACACAGCTAAGATGATGTCATGCTGTATATATCAATAGGGGGTCAGCCCTGTGCAGACATTGGTCCCTTTAATGCTTTTTAATGTCGCGACCCCTTAATACAGTTCCTCATGTTGTGGTGACCCCCAACTATAAAATTATTTTTGTTGATACTTCATAACTGTAATGAATTGTAGTATAAATATCTGACATGCAGGATGTATTTTCATTCTAATAAATTAAACATAATTAAATCATAGTGATTATGATTATGAGGGAGTATGAACAACGGATGATGGGATTTGTAGTACCTTCAACCAATTCAGCTCTGACTTCCACAGACCACTAAGACCCCCATGAATGACAAATCTGGATCAAACTTGGCATACAGAACCTCCATGACCAACAGAAAATACTGGAGGGATTTGGGAAGAATTCACAGTAATGGAATCCTAGGGTTGCAAGAGACCTCCAAGGGCCATCCAGTCCAACCTCCTCCTGCCATAAGGGAAAAGCACAATCAAAGCACTCGTGATACATGGTCAATCAGACTCTCCTTAATAATAATAATAATAATAATAATAATAATAATAATAATAATAATATCCTAGGGTTGCAAGAGACCTCCAAGGGCCATCCAGTCCAACCTCCTCTTGCCATAAGGGAAAAGCACAATCAAAGCACTCGTGATACATGGTCAATCAGACTCTCCTTAATAATAATAATAATAATAATAATAATAATAATAATAATAATAATATCCTAGGGTTGCAAGAGACCTCCAAGGGCCATCCAGTCCAACCTCCTCCAGCCATAATGGAAAAGCACAATCAAAGCACTCATGACAGATGGTCATTCAGACTCTCCTTAATAATAATAATAATAATAATAATAATAATAATAATAATAATAATATCCTAGGGTTGCAAGAGACCTCCAAGGGCCATCCAGTCCAACCTCCTCCTGCCATAAGGGAAAAGCACAATCAAAGCACTCATGACAGATGGTCATTCAGACTCTCCTTAATAATAATAATAATAATAATAATAATAATAATAATAGAAGAAGAAGAAGAAGAAGAAGAAGAAGAAGAAGAATAGAATCCTAGAGTTGCAAGAGACCTCCAAGGGCCATCCAGTCCAACCTCCTCATTCCATAAGGGAAAAGCACAATCAAAGTACTTGTGACAGATGGTCATTCAGACTCTCCTTAATAATAATAATAATAAGAAGAAGAGAAGAAGAAGAAGAAGAAGAAGAAGAAGAATAGAATCCTAGAGTTGCAAGAGATCTACAAGGGCCATCCAATCCAACCTCCTCCTGCCATAAGGGAAAAGCACAATCAAAGCACTCATGACAGATGGTCATTCAGACTCTCCTTAATAATAATAATAATAATAATAATAATAATAATAATAATAATATCCTAGGGTTGCAAGAGACCTCCAAGGGCCATCCAGTCCAACCTCCTCCAGCCATAATGGAAAAGCACAATCAAAGCACTCATGACAGATGGTCATTCAGACTCTCCTTAATAATAATAATAATAATAATAATAATAATAATAATAATAATATCCTAGGGTTGCAAGAGACCTCCAAGGGCCATCCAGTCCAACCTCCTCCTCCCATAAGGGAAAAGCACAATCAAAGCACTCATGACAGATGGTCATTCAGACTCTCCTTAATAATAATAATAATAATAATAATAATAATAATAATAATATCCTGGGGTTGGAAGAGACCTCCAAGGGCCATCCAGTCCAACCTCCTCCGCCCATAAGGGAAATTTATTATTATTATTTTATTTCTCGTATTTCTATCCCATCCTTCTCAACCCCCGAAGGGGGACTCAGGACGGCTTACAATGGGCCCCATTCCGAAGCCATTACATAACAAATTGCAAAATTAAAGCCACAATTAGACATAAAAGCATAATTAACAATACATAAGCCATTGTTAAAACAGTAAAACAGTCTTTTTTTTTAAAAAAAACATTATTTTATTTTTAATTGGGGGGGGGAAATCAACTGCATCTTAATACGATAAGCATTTGGTTTTAAAAATGAAACAGCAAAATGCCTAATTACGATTTTACTTCTTAAAATCTAAAATAAAGTTGAATTATGAAAATAGACACTTGTGAAGCAAGCTACATACACAGCCTTCAAACCACAACGATGTAGGGAACTATTAAATGGGACAGTCGTAAATATGGATTTCTTGGTCATTGCCCACAGAGACTATTTTGGAGAAGCACAATCAAAGCACTCGTGACAGATGGTCATTCAGACTCTCCTTAATAATAATAATAATAATAATAATAATAATAATAATAATAGAATCCTAGGGTTGCAAGAGACCTCCAAGGGCCATCCAGTCCAACCTCCTCCCGCCATAAGGGAAAAGCACAATCAAAGCACTCGTGACAGATGGTCAATCAGACTCTCCTTAATAATAATAATAGTAATAATAATAATAATAATAATAATAATAATAATATCCTGGGGTTGGAAGAGACCTCTAAGAGCCATCCAGTTCTACCTCCTCCTGCCATAAGGGAAAACCACAATCAAAGCATTCGTGACAGATGGTCATTCAGACTCTCCTTAATAATAATAAT